AATTTCTTTGTAGTGCTTGGATATAGCATGCTGTTTTGGGACTCTCTTTTCTGGTTATGTCTCACACTCACCCATATATTCACATATTTCACAAATATTTGAGTTACTGCTTTTATCAGCACTATATGTATGACACACACACACTCTCATCTGTCCGTTTGTCATACTGTGGTGGCATGTGTGCTATGAGTCAGAGTCGATTTGACAGCACATAACAACAACAACTTGGAAAAAGATGGTGGAGAAATGCAACATTACCAATCAGAACAAAGCCTGGGGATGACTCTGAAACCCTCAATTGTTCATAGGCAAGTTAGAACTGACACTGAATAAAAGGAAAATAAGTCCACTAGAGCAAACTATAAACTTAAAGATGGTCCACTTGAATCTAGAAACCATCTAAAAAATAAATTTGATGCATTGAACATTAACAACTAACAACCAAAATATTTGCAGGATATCATCAAATATATATGAAGAAAGCAAATGGTTACAAAAAGACAAATACTGAATAGTGCCACTGTTGTAGAATGGGACTGACATCAGAGTTGGGATAAGACTGAGAAAAACTAGATAAATTATGTATACTGCGTTGAAACAGGTGAGGGAGAGAACAGTTTAAAACGATATATGATAGGGTATTGTGGTTATCACAGGAATCCAGAATTAAGGTTGTATAGTGGAATGCGTTGGGGCTCAGGGGGGGCAGGGGACAGAGGGATTGTATACCAATGAAGGAGTTTATCTTTTGCTTTTCGAAGAGAGGGGCGAACTGCACCCGGGGAGGAGGGGGGAGGCTAGAGAAAAAAGTACAACAATGAATGAGTGGAAATCCAAAATCTCTGTAAATATTCATTAAAATTAATAAAATAATTTTTTTAAAGACAAGAAAGGAAGAAAAAGCCCAAATGGATGTCAGAAAAGATTGAAAATTGTTGTTGAATGTAGAGAAGGTGAATCAAAAAGAAGGAATTCAAACAAGAGAATTCAACAGAAGATCTCAAAGAGCAGATTGAGAACAAAAAGCAAAATAACAAATGTACAAAGTGCTGGAGTTAGAAAACGAAAAGAGAAGAACATAATCAACTTTCATCAAGCCGAAAGAACTAAAAAAAATTCAAGCTTGGAGTTGCAATGCAGTAGTATACCATGGGCAAAATATTTCATGCCACAGGAAACATTAAAAGAAGTTGGAGGGATACTTAGAGTCACTGTAGCATAAAGGACTGGTTGACACCAAACTATTTGAAGATGTAGCATATGATCAAGAACCAGTAATACTGAAGGAAGAAGTTCAAGTTGCACTGAAAGGATTGACAAAAGCTAAGCATTTATGGAGTCAAGTGAATTGTTTCAATAAACAGATGTATCTCTGAATGTGCACACTTATCTATGGCAAGAACTTGGAAGACAGTCAGATGGCCAACTAACCTGGAAGAGCTGATCTAAAAGAATGTAGAAATTATTGAACAATATCATTAATATCAGATGCAATTAAAATCCTACTGAAGATATTAAAAATGCTGAAGCAGTCTATCAATAAGGAACTTACAGAAACAAACTGGATTCAGAAGAGGCTATAGAATGAGGTGGTGTCAGATGGATCTTAGCCAAAAGCAGAGAATAATAAAAAAGATGTTTATTAGTGTTTTATGACTATGAAAAGACATTTAACTGTGTGCATCACAATAAATTATGGATAATATTTGGAAGAATGGAATTCCAGAACCTTAATTGGCTCGTGCAAAACCTGTATGTGGACAAAAAGCTGTTGTTTGAACAGAACAAAGGTATATATTACAGCATTTAAATTCAAGAAAAGTGTGTATGAGGGTTATAGCCTTTCACTAAATTTTCATCATATTCAATCTATAAGCAGAGTAAATAATCCAAGAAACTAGAATATATTAAGAAGAGTGTGGCATTAAGACTGGAGGAAGTCTCATCAACAACCTGCAATATGCAGATGGCAGAGTATTGCTTGCTAAAAGTGGAGAGGACTCAAAGCATTTCCTACAGAAGAGAAAAACCTACACCCTTCAGTATGGATTACACCTCAACATAAAGAAAACAACTGGACTCATAAACAATGTCATGATAAATGGAGAAAGTTTGAAGTTGCCAAGGATTTAATGATACTAGGATCTATAATCATGGAAGCAACAGTCAAGAAATCAAAAGATGTATAACCATACCTAGTGGCAAGAAGCTGCACTGCAATCCTGAAGGTGTCCAGTTTGAATCCACCAGATGCTCCACTGGAGAGGAGGGGCAATCTCCTCCTGTGTCAGTAGGATCTGATGGTACACAATGAGGAAAAGAAGGAGGTAGGGGTAGGGGGTGGGGTAGGAACAGGAGAGGAAGAGAGAAAGAGAGAGAAAGAAAGATGTATTACATTTGTATATTTGGTGTCAAAGATGTCTTTAAAATACTGTGAGCAAGGATGTTACTTTAAAGACTAAGGTGCACCCACTCCAGGCCATGGTATTTTTCCAAATGTTTCATGTGCATGTAGAACAATAAACAATGAAGACCAAAGAAGACTTGATGCCTTTGAATTGTAGTCTTTGTGAAGAATATTGACTGCTCTAAACTGCCCAAAGAACTAACAAGTCTGGCTTAGAAGTGCAGCCAAAGTGTTCATTATAAGCAAGAATGGTGAGCGACATACTTAGGACCAGTTTGCGGGAAAAGACATCATGCTTGGGAAAACAGAGAGTTAAAAAAAAAAAGAAGGAGGAAGAGCTCAACAAGATGGATTGATATAGTGGGGGCAACAATGGGTTTAAGCTCAGTAGACATTATAGAGAGAAAGTTCAGGCAGGGATTTGTTCTTTGGGGCACAGGGTCTGTATGAGTTTAATATGGAATGAGGCTCAATGTCAAGAAGACAGAGATTCTCACCACTG